GAAGTAAGAGGACATATTTTTAATAATATCAATGGTAGATTTGTATGGTAATTGCAGTGCCACATATGGATGACATGTTAGTCAAAGTGTTAAAGAAAGAAAATATGTTAATCGCATGGGAGTTAGTTTGCGACTAAAAATCCCTGCCCAGATCGGCCGACATAGTGTATAGCAATCTGCGACATCAATCGCCAGTCAATCGACAGTATTATGGTCACCAGCCATCAGTTTTCACGTTGTAGCAAGAATTAATACACTATGAATGACACAACTGTTTAGAAAATTGAAAGTCAAGAGTTAAGTACATCACTGATACGAAACATGATGTATTCTAACTACATTATGGTTACCAGCCATCAGTTTACATGTTGTAGCAAGAATTAGTACACTATGAATGACACAATTGTCTAGACAATTGAAGGTCAATTGTTAATTACATCACTGATACGAAACATGATGTATTCTAACTACATTATGGTTACCAGCCATCAGTTTACATGTTGTAGCAAGAATTAGTACACTATGAATGACACAATTGTCTAGACAATTGAAGGTCAATTATTAATTACATCACTGATACGAAACATGATGTATTCTAATTAAATTATGGTTACCAGCCATCAGTTTTCATGTTGTAGCAAGAATTAGTACACCATGAATGGCATAACTCTCTAGAAAATTGAAGGTCAAGAGTTATTTACATCACTGATAGGAAACATGATGTATTCTAACTAAATTTATAAAAAAAGGAGATTAATTAAATATTAAACGAGATTTTTCATTGTTTTATCTAGTTGAATAATGGTTTCGGTAAATAAATTACCTCGAATACGAATTTTCGCTGAGGGAAAGTTCGCGTATGCTACCCTTTCGCTACGAAGAGTATAGCTCGCTAAGTACTAAAGATGAGCGTAGTCACTCACCGCAAAGTGCTTCTTATATATTCAACCTAAGTATAGTTACTCGTTAAAATTTCACATTAGTTAATAACTATGTTTTGACATAATATAGCAGCCAAGCTATTGATAACATAACCTATAAATATGAATTTTAACTCGCATGTTTTCTTTGGTTATTTTATGTGATAATACAAGATATTTTAAGAATAATACAAGTTATATTATTAATCAACAATAGCATATTTATTAACATAGTAATTATTAACATTAATTAATAACTTATTAACGTACTAATATTTTAGTAAAAATATCGTGTAATGTGCTTTTTATCGTTTTGAATGTCTGCAATGCTGAAATGATGTATTCATGTTTGTAAAAACTTAGAAAATAAATTATTCCAAAATTTTTTTTAAATCATACGTTGAAATTTTTGTTCCAAATTTTTGTTTGTCATAAGACTACAGGTAGGTGAAAAATGCGCTGTGTAATGATGTAATTATTAAATAGTTGCTATTTAAACTAATTTACTAATATATTGAATATTTCAATAAAATATTTCAATATAATTAAATTCAATAAAAAATATTGAAATATATTTGAGTGGAACTTCTAGCTATAGTCCACATCTAAACACAAATATATTTATTTATATTTAAATAAAATATTTAGAATAAATAATTACTTTGTTTAGTTAACAAAACTGTGGTGAACTATTAAATATATATTTTTTGTTAGTAATACTAAAACATATTCTTTTGTAAGAACTCTTAAGATAATCACAGACGTATAACCTTGATAAAAAATTAATAATATTTGAAAATTGATTGTTAAATTAAAATATGTCATTGTGCATGTTAAACACACGCGTATAAAGATAATTATCTTAAAAAGAAATAATTTAGTAAATATCTTCCATTCGTTATAAAATTAAGAAATATTTCATTTCCGTGGTAAATAAACGAAATAAATTAGCAATAAATATTTTCCAATAAATAGAAATAATTATTTAAAAGGGATTCTACAACTTTTATTTAAACAAATAATATTAGAAATTTATTAGCTGAGTATATGAATACAGTAGAGACGAAAGTATTTTATAAATAGCACATAATGCTTGTTATTCATTATAAAATAGTAATAATAGTTCTTTTAACTTGTTCTTGCTCGTCTTTATTGCTACAACGTAAGGTTACCGTAGTTGAAACACATTTGTGCGATAAATGCCCGCATTGTATTCAGCCCGATTTACGAAGATATAAATAACATTATTCCTACGTTATTAAAGTTATACGACAAGCTATAAAAGGAAGCTACTGTTTTATTAAACGTTCCACGAAGTTTACAACGCAAACTTTTCAGTCAATTTCGCGTCATTCGAGTTTAAATCAAAGATTACGAGTTCGTTTACCTAATACGTCTCTATAAAAACGGAAACAAATTTAAAACATCGAAAGCGATACAATCTGAATTACAGATTACAACATATACTGCCATAAGCTTCGTTCAAGGATTTTAATGCCAGAAACTTGTTTCATTCTTCATTGTTTAATGTCTAGACTTTATTGCCTTACGCAATTAGAAAGTTTGTGTAATAAATTTTCTAGCTTTTCGACTCACGTAAATAAATATTTCTCATTTTAGATATGCTTCCATTTATGTTACTGTTTGCTTTCGGAAAGGGCTTAAATTTAATTATATATATAATTACATTCAAATCTCATTTTGAATAAGATCTTATCTATTTGAATAACATCTTATTACATCTTATAATAATTTATATATTTTATAAATTATGTGTAAAAGGGAATTTATATTTTATATAAGATATACTACATAAGATAATAGAAGTGTGTATGAATAAGATATATGTATACTCTCATTTTATATTCTTACATGTCAACTTATTTTATACAAGATTGTTTTGTATCTACACCCTTGGACAAAATAGCACACATGTGCTATCTTTAATTTCTTGAAAACTACTTAGAATTTTTTAATGTAATACATACCATTCTATAATGTA